CAAGAAGTAAATAAATGGACGGTTATCTATTTGAGTAATTTTCTTAGTTTTCATCATTGACTAACACTTGCTACGAGACGAATTCAGAATTGATTATTTCAAAGCTAAGATTTGCATTAACTATTATTTGAGGATTAACCATTGTTTTCATGTCCTCAACCAGCAATCCCTTCTTAATAATCTTACAAACATCTGTACGATTGATAAATGTTCAAATCAATTGCATAATTAACAAATTATTTCGAAGTAACATCATCTTTTACAGTATGGGACAAAAATTAGAGAACAAAAAACTGACTCGTATTATTTTCAGTTTCAATTCATCTGTCTTATTTGGCCTTATTGTACATATTTGTATACTCTATCTTATTATATTGCATTAATCGTAGTTTATATCTCTTTCATTAATAGAATGCAATTAATTGAAAAACCGCTTGAAATATCTCATTGCAACTTCATTGAAAATGCATAAAAAATATTATTAAATTAGTTTAAGAAATTTTTTAGAAAACTCGAAATCATTTTAGAAAGATTTCTTCAAATCTTAAAAATTTCATGACAATTTCTTGCTAATTTACGTTTTTTTAAATTATTTCGTCCAGTAAAATGGACAAATTATTAACTAAAATTGCCTAATATTAGCAAAATAGCAAAGTCCAAAAGAAAATTAACAAGTTGAAAAAAAGAAACAAAGTTTATTTATTAAGCTTAAGTAAGCAAGAATATTACAGTTATCATTACTTTGCCATCTTTTGTGCAATGTGAGTTCACGCTGGTTAACTCGTATTCGTTCTCGCTTGCTAATTTGTATGACAAATGATTCATTTCTCTAATTAGGCTAATTGGATGATGTCACTATTATTCTGGAGATCATTTAAATAATTATAAGTAAGGTGTTATAATAGCACTCAAATACTATGCCATGAAAATAAAAGTGAAAGATATTTTGAAAGTCGTAACTATTCTTGAGGGATGCATGCAGCAAAGTAAGTAATGAAATTGAAGTGTGATAATCAAAATAATATTATTATGTCATTGAATTTTAATCTCTCGGTTAAAAGCAAAGAAAAAAATGATGTGAAATGACAAATCATCGAGCCCGAAAAACATTCCCACAATCAACTAAGTGAATATATAAGTGAAAGAAATTTTGCAGAAAAAATTATTTCCTGCTTAAAAAACTTTTTCTCGTTCAGAATTAATTAGTAATAAGAATTTCAGATTGCCGGATTTCTGCAGAAATAATTATATATTTGCATGTATATAATCATATCATTATTGTGGCCATTTTCAAATTCATTTTATATATTTCAAAGAACTTCGAAAAAATTTGACTATCTAAAAATACCTTTTTAATCTTATAACACCAATACAAAGTTATTTTATAACATTTTTTTAAAATTTCATTTAGTTTTCATCAAATTTCCTAAGAGTAGTCAAACGATTAGAAGAAAAGAAATATAACTATTTCCAAAAACGGATTAAGGTTTTACCAGTTCATAATATGATTAGTTAGTTAATATCTTTCGGAGCTTTCCATCAAACTTCTTTAAAGCTTTTTTTTTCTACAGATAAACACTTTTTTTGGCTCTTTACTCTGCTTTGGATCATTTTATCACTCCTTTTTTCAGCCTTTTCTTTTTATTTCTTCCTATTCCTCCTCTCAAAAAATGATTAAAAAAATAAATCAATATTGCCATTCTTAAGCACACAAGCCTTCGCAGTTGCCTTCAGCCTTTAATTTTGCTGCAGTAATACTGTAAGTAACATAGTTTTCGCCAATTTCTCTTGACTGCAAACATTTCAAAAGTTTCGAAAATTATGCCAATTTTTCGACAAATTTTAATTTTATTCGCTCAATTTAAAAGCTGTTAAAGTGGAAATTTTTGTTATTGGC